TTAAGTTTTCCTAAATTAATTTATTACTTTGTTCAGCTTTCAGTTATGCCTTGTATTTACTTACTACTCCTGTTGCAGCGTTAAAGCAGTGTCCATTGCTGTGGGATACGCAAATAATTTTGTTTTCACTTTTGAGACTATTATTGTTTTAATCTAGACCAACTATTCCATGAATAAGTACTGTTTAATTAACCAATCTATCCCATGAACATTACAGTTTTAATCTATCCAAACTATACCATGCATATATTACTGTTTAACCTAACCATCCTATACCTTGTATAGTCCTGCTTTAATCTACCAAAATTATCCATGATTATCACTGTTTACTCTTTTATTTGTTCAGCTTAAATACAAGTATATTATAATACGGTCTTAAGCTATTTACTTCTTCAGTTTCAGTTTGTCTTGTATTTACTCCGCTATTTATTCTCTGTTTTCTAGCACTGCTTAAGCTTCATGCCTCTCTTGCTGTTTTTGGCCTCGCTATGTTATTTATATTATTTATTTAAGTTTTCTAAAATTAATTTGTTACATAGTCCAGCTTCAGTTATGCCCGGTATTTACTTAATAATACTGTTGCAGTGTTAAAGCAGTGTCCATTTCTAGTGGGATACTCAAATATTTTTGCTTTTCACTTTTGAGATTAATATTGTTTGGATTCTTCCAAACTATACCACGAATAATACTATCTTAATATAAACAAACTATACAATGAATAATACAGGCTTAATATAACCAAACTATACCATGAATAATACTGTTCAATCTATACATGAATATTACTCTCTTAATCTATTTTAACTGCTCAGCTTTTATTACATTGGCTTTTATTATGATAGCATTGGCTATGTCCGGTATTCTCAATCACTATGGACACTTAACTTTACCTTTGCTTTTGTCTACTTGCGTATGTGACAGTTGCCGGTGCGGCAGGTGGGTCTCCCTGCCTGCTTTTTTTTTCCCCCGTTAGTCCTACCGATGCTTACTTTTTCATTTTCCGCAGTGGCGAGAAGCCGGATCACGCAGCAACTGCAACACGGAAGAGGGCTCAGGCGGCGTCGTGCGAGGACAACAGCGCAGTGGTTGAGGACGCAGCCGGCCTGGGCCAGGACGAAACCCGCCCGTTTCGCCTCCCCCTCCTCAGGGGCCTCCTCGGACGGCTCTGATGTGGACGGCGACCACACTTCCCAGAGGCCCCCTGCCGGCAAAGCGTGGGTGGCACAGCGTCGCAGCCTCCACCCCTTTCGGCCAACGATTGGACGACGCTGCAGGCGCCCATCGCGCAGGCTCGGGGGCCCTCTCATGTCACAAGCCTTCTGGGCATGGGGACCACCGGGGCCGACCCTGCTGCGGCTGCTACAGCCGCCCTGCCCCCCACCTTCACCGACCGTCACCCACGGGCCAGGGCCAGGGGGCATAAGTCAAGGCGACGTGCGAGCTCCTCCAGTCTGTCCTCCTTCCTTCCCAGTTCGGTAGCGTAGTTGCTCTGCCACCCTGAGGTTTCCCTCGTGGCCAGCGGGCACTCGCCCTTCGGGGGGGGGGGGGGGGGTCCGGCCTGCGGGGTGGGGGTGCAGCGCCCGTCCCCAAGTGTTCCGCTGTCCGCAGCTACTACTTTGACTTTACAGCCATTCTACTAGTAAGCCCTACCTTATGTCAGGTAATTCCTTCTTCCTTGGCGACTCGGCCTCTGGCCTGGGGTTATTTTCTTCTCCAAATACATATCAGGCTTTCCCAGTCACTATGTATTTTTCCGCCGCCTGATTATTCTCCAGCTAGGGTTTCCCTTATGTTATGTTGTTCACTTTGGTGACCTGTTATACTTAGAATTAGATTTGTTACATTCGCCTCACTGCTAATTCTAGACAATAGGACATTAGGTTTCTGCAGAGTTTGTTACTAGGCTATAAGATTACGTTATTTTACTACGGGTGTACAATTTAAGATGTTTCGTGTACTTTGAGTTAGCCACGGCTGTGTTATACATTTGTTAAGACCTACTTAGAAGCCTGTTTTACTTCTGCAGAATTATTTATCCTGTACTAATAAATTTACACCCCCATGTGTTGGTGTCTTCCTTCCCCTGATCAGAAAATTTGATTCCTAATCACTCTTTCAAACACTTTTATTATGTGTGATGTTAGTGCAACTGGCCTATAATTTTTTGCCAAGGCCTTACTCCCCCCCCTTGTGCAACGGAGCTATATCTGCAGATTTAAGTGCTGCTGGTATCTCCCCTGTATCCAGGCTCTTTCTCCATATTACGCTGAGTGCTCTCGCTATTGGTACTTTACATTTCTTTATGAATATTGAATTCCATGAGTCAGGCCCAGGAGCTGAGTGCATAGGCATATTGTCATATTGTCTATGCGACTGCGTGATGTCGCAATGAACAGTCGGCGTAATGCGACTGTTCATGCACATTGCACATTCCACATTCCACCACAGTTTAAGTAGTTGGTTAGACCTATGTCCTGAGGTTTTCTTGAACCGTTAAGTGGCTGCAGAATTAATGGCCGAGGTGATGGTAGACAGCCATGGTTTGGGGTCTACATCATCTGTATCTGGTAGATGGACAATATCAGCCCATTTATGTTTATCTAGTTTCTTAATGTTTCACTTGTGGGGTGTTAGGGGATGGGTTGGTGGTTGAAAGTTATTAAATTTAATAATGAGGGGTTTGTGGTCATTACCAATATCTGGTCCAGTATGAAACTGTAGTTCATGTTGAAAGTGTGCCGAGCCAAAACAGATGTCAAGTGAGGCTTTATAATGGGTTCTGTAGTTAAAATAAGTTGCGAGATAGGTGGCGAAAGGAGAATATATGGTGCAGTGTCAAAGTAGTTACATAGATCGGTGCCTGCAGTGTTCTGGGTACCTCTACTTCACATGTGGGTTGGTTAACATTGAGATTGCCTGTAACAATGATTGGGTGTCGTAATTGGTCAAGATTGAATTCCAGTTCATTTAAGTTTGTTCCACCAGGGTTGTATATGCCAAGAAAGGAGGTGTGTACCATTGTAAGGTATTAACCACTGTGCTGCGTTGAGTTTATTGTGAAATTCCCCCGGTGCGCATGAAATAAAACTGTTCCCAAAAAATTATTTTTTCTTCGTAAAATGATAAATTCCCTTCCCTGAACATATCTATGTAAAAATAAATACCAAATTCCACTTACTTTGGCTGTGGGGACGTGGACAAGGTGCACTGTGACATCATCAGGGCCTGGTCGCCCGTGCGTGACTCGCCCAGACACGGTCGCACAGGCCATTCAAGCACCGGGTGTTGCCACAAATATATTTTCAATTATTTGTTTTATGTATTTCCAATGCGGTTTTATTTGTTTTTTACCGTATATGATGCATATTTGTGTCCTTTACAATATGTAAAGAATAGAACGTTCATAATGTTCCATGGAACTGTGATACATGTGTCAGTAATGTGTCCACAATATTTATTGTCGCAATATTACCTGTTAAAAATTCACTAAAATTACAATATGTGCAGTTTCACACACTATTTACACAGTAACACTGTATTACACACTCAGTACTTCGGAAGCGAGTAATAATCAACGAAGTAGCCATGATACACAGCGAGACTTCGCTCTCAGTGCACCAGGAACAGAAATTTTCGCTTCCTGTTTCTTCATTCTGTGTGCTTGCAAATAATGCACTCACGTACACCCTTGGCTTTAGTACTTGTAGGTTGTATGTAGCCAAGCTTGTAAAGCATAAGGTAGTATTGAAAAGATTATAGGAAAAGATCAATTTGTAAGGTAGTCTTGAAAAGATCACTTTGTATGGTCCCACACAGGAAGAGATTCAGCTAGCCTCAAAGAGTGTCCACCAGTTAGGAAGAGATTCAGGTATTCTTGAAAATATCTATGAAAAACACCACCATGGAAGCCACTAACACTGTTCATCTATGCTACTTGCATCAGATGCATAATCACTGAACGCAAAAAACGATTCATCTATGTACCATCTAAATAAATTGGAGATAGCATAGGATTGCAAGGGTGACGCTCAGAGCTACAACTGGATATGCTCGCTGTATCGTCCTCATAGATGCTGTATCACTTGCATCCAACCTGTGTGTTAGGTCCTTATTGCACCTAGCTTCACCAATATTATGACCCTTATGTTCTTCAAACAATAAGGTTTGAATTTCACCGACAGAACATTATCTTTCAACACCGCTTCGGACAGGTGTTTGGGAGCCAGAGGCGCGTGCGCCACCCATGGTTGCTCATTCAGTACTAACCCAGCCAGCAGCCCTAAAGCATTCTGGGATTTTTTTCCAAGATGGCTGCCTCTGACTAGAGGTCCTAAGAGTCCATTTCGTACACAACCAACCTCGTACACATTTAGAATTGGTACCGAAAAATCAAAGAGTTTTCTCGGTTGGCGCAGTTTCCCGCCGACCGAGATTACTCGGTTGGCACAGTTAAGTGGTTAAGCATGCTAAAGTTTCTAGTTTACCAGATGAATCTCAACAGGTACTTGCAGTTTTCTTCAACCAATAATCTATTGCACACAAATAGTAACCTTAAGAAAGTTGAGATACCTGCCTCTACAGTTCCATTTACAGAAGTAGTCTACACTTCAGACTACAGATAAACAATTTATAGTACTTTTTCTCATAGTTAATTTAGTGCATGTCTCAATTAATAGAGAATTCTCCAGAGCTCTCATCCTGTAACTACATATAAATATAAGCAATTACATTTAGGTAATTACACAGACACAGAAAAGACAGAATAGAATGTCTCATGAAGACATTCACATTTTTACTCTGATACAGACTCTGATACATGATATCAGAGTTACACTATGATCAGGTCACTAAGTACTAGAACTTTTTTTCATTCACTCTTGAATTTTCATAAACAAAAGTAATTTTTAACATGAACAATGTAATCATTTACCTGGTTTACTTCCTTAACATGCCTAGACTAGTATTTTAGCCTACTAAAATCAAACCTGATTACAATATACCTGGAACAAACTGGAGATGCCTTTCATAACATTGAGAACTGACGATTCCCTTCCATCAATATGATAGACTTTTCTAATCTGACCATTATCCCAATGCATATAGAGAGGGTGTAACTTGTATCTTTCCACTTTTGAGGTCTTGTGAACAAAGCCCTCAGGGGAAGGGCCTTGTCGAGCTTTAACAGAGAGCTTAGGAGTAACCACCTGCAAAAGACAGAATAATTAGCATTCATCCTCAAACAATCATGACATATTCATAAATTATGATTAATTATTTAAGGCGAGATGTGCTGGATAAGAATGGTTATTACTAAATTATTTTGTATTAGTCTTAATACAGTACTTTCTTACACAAGATTGTGCATCTCTATCAGGCAACTCAGATAAACATGTTTGTCTTGGATAAGTTATTTAACTGAATAGCCTGCATACACCTTTAAGCAGTAATACTGTACTGTAACCTAGCAATTCATTAATTGATTCAGAGTCCCAAAGAGACTACAGTGGTACCTCGGAATACGAGGGTCCCTGTTTACGAGTTTTTCGGATTACGAGCAGGATTTGCTCGGAAAATTTACATCGGAATATGAGCGTTGCCTCAGAATACGAGGGTGTTGATACGCGTACAGGCCGACTAGTGTGTTGTGGCACAACGATCGCACCTCAGTTTACCAGTGCCTCATGCCCAGTGACAATCCCACCTGAATTCTTCACAAGAATTTACAGTTTTTTGTAGGATTTTTGGCCATTTGAGCATAAAAGTTGTTATATATCTCGCCATGGATCCCAACAAAGCCAAAGGTAAGGTTCAACCTAAGAAAATAGTTGTGAGTAGAGGCAGTAGAGGATGTCCCTTCTACATTAAGAAAATTTGTGAAGTATGGGAAGAACTGCAAAGTTTTGTTGAAAAAACTCACCCAGATAAAGCTGTAGCAGGCCGTTGCATTGACCTTTTAGATGACAATGTCTTACTACAGACAAGTGTTAAAATGTAGGGAAAAACAAGTGTCTTTAGACATTCTTAGTAAGACAAGCAAGCAGTGAGTCGCAAGCAGTGAGCCACAAGCAGGTCCTAGTGGTATGCAGGCAACATGTGCCAGGGAGTGCACACCAGTGAAGTCCTCACTGCCTGATGTTATAATGGAAGGGGACTACCCTTCCAAACAGTAACACCTCTCCTCCTCCCCCCTCCTCACCATCTTTCATACACTAACAGCAGTCATCAGCAAGGGTAAGTAATAACTTAACATACTTTTGTAGTGTAGATTTAAATGAATTAGGCATAAAATTTAGTTTGAAGTGAGGTTTTTGGGTAGTCAGGAACGGATTAATTCATTTCCCATTATTTCTTATGGGGAAATTAGCTTCGGTTTATGAGTTTTCGGATGACGAGCTGTCTCCAGCAACGGATTAAACTCTTAAACCAAGGTATTCCTATATTTGAGTATGTACAAATCTCTGGTGTGCCCCACTTGGACTACTGTATCCAAGCATGGAGACCTAACCTTCAAACGAACATATGTATCTGCTCTGGAAATGTACAAAGAAGAGCAATGAAAACATATCAGAACTAAGTCATCTCTTATACCAGAAAAGGTTAAGGGCCTCAAAACTAACATTACAAGCCAGACATGATACAGGTGATCTTACCAACACCTTCAAAATGCTGAACAAACTGGAAGATACTAATCCAAATCACATCTTTAAAATTGCCAATGTAATTCAGACAAAGGGGAACAGTTTCAACCTCAAGTGACAATGATAGAAAATAAATGATTTTCCACACAAGATATATAAACCCATGAAATAGAGAGCATGGCTCTTAGCTTTATAGCAGAACAGCATGACCCTTGGGTTTACAACATGGCTCTCTGCTTTACAGCAGTATGACATGGTTCTCAGCTTTACAACTTTACAACATGGCTGAAGCGAGTATAAGGGTTACTTGCTACAGGATGTGAGAACTGTTAACTGTAATTAGGGATAAAATTATAGCTTGTGTAGTTAGTGCTAATTAGTTACGCCATTTAGATAATGAGATAATGGAGGGAGTATAAGGATTACTCCCTACATGGCTCTCAGCTGTACAACATGGCTCTCAGCTTTACAGCTGTACAACATGGTCCTCAGTCTTATAACATTACAGAATGGCTCAGCTGTTCAGGCTGGCTCTCAGCTTTACAGCTGTTCAGGCTGGCTCTCAGCTTTACAGCTGTTCAGGCTGGCTCTCAGCTTTACAGCTGTTCAGGCTGGCTCTCAGCTTTACAGCTGTTCAGGCTGGCTCTCAGCTTTACAGCTGTTCAGGCTGGCTCTCAGCTTTACAGCTGTTCAGGCTGGCTCTCAGCTTTACAGCTGTTCAGGCTGGCTCTCAGCTTTACAGCTGTTCAGGCTGGCTCTCAGCTTTACAGCTGTTCAGGCTGGCTCTCAGCTTTACAGCTGTTCAGGCTGGCTCTCAGCTTTACAGCTGTTCAGGCTGGCTCTCAGCTTTACAGCTGTTCAGGCTGGCTCTCAGCTTTACAGCTGTTCAGGCTGGCTCTCAGCTTTACAGCTGTTCAGGCTGGCTCTCAGCTTTACAGCTGTTCAGGCTGGCTCTCAGCTTTACAGCTGTTCAGGCTGGCTCTCAGCTTTACAGCTGTTCAGGCTGGCTCTCAGCTTTACAGCTGTTCAGGCTGGCTCTCAGCTTTACAGCTGTTCAGGCTGGCTCTCAGCTTTACAGCTGTTCAGGCTGGCTCTCAGCTTTACAGCTGTTCAGGCTGGCTCTCAGCTTTACAGCTGTTCAGGCTGGCTCTCAGCTTTACAGCTGTTCAGGCTGGCTCTCAGCTTTACAGCTGTTCAGGCTGGCTCTCAGCTTTACAGCTGTTCAGGCTGGCTCTCAGCTTTACAGCTGTTCAGGCTGGCTCTCAGCTTTACAGCTGTTCAGGCTGGCTCTCAGCTTTACAGCTGTTCAGGCTGGCTCTCAGCTTTACAGCTGTTCAGGCTGGCTCTCAGCTTTACAGCTGTTCAGGCTGGCTCTCAGCTTTACAGCTGTTCAGGCTGGCTCTCAGCTTTACAGCTGTTCAGACTGGCTCTCAGCTTTACAGCTGTTCAGACTGGCTCTCAGCTTTACAGCTGTTCAGACTGGCTCTCAGCTTTACAGCTGTTCAGACTGGCTCTCAGCTTTACAGCTGTTCAGACTGGCTCTCAGCTTTACAGCTGTTCAGACTGGCTCTCAGCTGTACAGCTGTTCAGACCGGCTCTCAGCTTTACAGCTGTTCAGACTGGCTCTCAGCTGTACAGCTGTTCAGACCGGCTCTCAGCTTTACAGCTGTTCAGACTGGCTCTCAGCTGTACAGTAGTATATCAATAAGCAGCACTTTCTTTATTAGGGATCTAGAGCGACTTAACACACAAATAGATCACATCCATGATGTTAAAAGTTAAGTAGGTAATTTAGATACTTGTTTGTGTGTAATATATTCACACTGTTACATTTATGGTGTTTATTAATATAATTTCAGTGCCTAGAAATCGTGACATACTGTTTGTAATAGTAAGACTACCATACTGTGGAATGTACAGATGCATCATCCTGTACATTGTACATTCATACTCATAAATACATACATAGCAACACTAGTGGCAGGCAAATTTATAAACCTTTTGCAATAAAAATACAATATTGTTGCTCATAAGGAGCATCTTATAATTGGTTATCATAATTTTATGATAACAAACGTAGAATTTACTATGTAATGACAACCTACAATGTTTTTTCACTTGCCTTTCCCCACTAGCTGTCTTGATCTGCATCGCTTTATCTGCCACAGAACACACTTTGTTCATCATTAACCACTTTGTTATTTCCTGTACTTCACTCATTTTATCACTTTCCTCCCATACACTTTGCCCTCTACACTTAATAAACCCATAATCCGGGATCACTGGATGGATTCCTGGACGGAACAAAACAGTTGGGCAAGTTTCCTTTCACCTGATACCTCTGTTAAACTAACAGTAAATAGGCACCCGGGAGTTAGGCATCGGTTGTGAGAGTTGCATACTGGGAAGGGTTAGTAGCTCAACCTTAGGGTTACCGCGATACAAGCTTACAGTGAGATTGTGTGAGTGAGTGAATTACCTAAATGTAATTACCTAATTGTAGTTAAAGGATGAGTGCTACGCTCAAAGCGTCTCATCTTCCCAGTACTTTGTCAAATAATGCTTTAAAATACTGATATTTTTGGCCAACACCTTCTCACTTAACTTCTTCCATATTCTACTGATTACAAAAGCGAATTTTGATATATTTCCCCAGTAGCTTTGTTTAGTTAGCTTAAATCTGTGACCTCTTTTTCCTTGAAGTTTCATGTCTCAGGAATTCCTCCCCTATCCGTTTTGTTAATTCCCATTACTATTTTGGACAGTGATCATATCACCTCATTTTCTTCCATCTTCTAGTTTTAGCATATTTAATGCCTCTAAGCTCTCCTTGTACTCTTGTCTTTCAGTTCTCGAAGCCATTTAGTTGCATGTCTTTGCACCTTTTTCCAGTTTGTTGTTGTGCTTCTTAAGATATAGGCACCAAACAACCGCTGAATCTTCCAGCTTTGGTCTCACAAAGGTCATGAACAATTTTTTAGTATTTCACCATCCATGTATTTAAAAGTAATTCTGAAATTGGAAAGTCTAGCATAGGTTCTCCACACAATGTTCTTTATATGGTCCTCATATAATAATTTTCTATCTAGAACCTCATCTAGATCTCTTTTTCAGAGTTCTTTAATGCTGAAGAGCAAGAGCTACGAGGAGAGGTTAGAGGCATTAAATATGCCAAAACTAGAAGATAAAAGAAAAAGAAGCGATATGATCACTACGTAAAAAATAGTAACAATAATTGAAAAAATTGATAGTGACGATTTCCTGAGACCTGGAACTTCAAGAACAAGAGGTTATAGATTTAAACTACCTAAACAAAGATGTCGAAAAAATATAAGAAAATTCACTTTCACAAACAGAGTGCTAGAGGGTTAGAATAAGTTAGGCGAGAAGGTAGTAGAGGCCAAAACTGTCAGTGATTTCAAAGCGTTATATGACAGAGTGCTGGGAAGACAGGACACCACGAGCTACGCTTGTGGTGTCCCGTCTTCCCGTCGTGGTGTCCCGACCCGTGGTGTGTCTGTCTCGGATCAACCCCTTCGGGGTTACCTTACCTTGAGGTGCTTCCG